AGTGAGAGTACAAGAGATCCTTTCAGTAGTCTTGATGTGATCAAGGGATCGTAACCATCGATTCACTGGATTCCGCAGTCTCCTTAATCAGGTTTGTTAAGTTGAGACACTACTAAGACATAGCTTCCTCTGCTGCCACTTCATCCAGAGTTCCATCTCTTCACGATGCTTTGCTCAGGGATGGGTTGTATATACCAACAGTCAGGAATTCCAGGGACTACGCATGGATGATGAGCCTTCCCTACACATTGCTTTAGTCCTTCTTGCTCCTAAAAAAGCAATGCCTAATGGTCTGAGCTTATTAAGGGGAAAATCATCAGGCTTCACTCAGACATTTCCATGGTAGTGTCTTGCATTTCTTATCAAAGACGCACTTAGTCCAGGGCTCCTTGTTTTCAAATCATGGACTTCCTTTCTCAGAACCATTCCTATCATATCATCGTACTAACTTGCCATGTTCCATGAGGAATGACTACAGTAGCAGATCAATTGTCTCAATCCAAACAGATTCTCCCAACAGAATATAGAGGCTGCATTACAAGATTCTGTTGGATTGGCTCTCATTTTGCAACTCTGATTGGTGGGTTGGCCAATCATTGAAACACCCAACTACTGGCTATTTGGTCTCCAGTACCTCCCCTTTGTACTTTGGCAATAGATGCATTCCATGAGGTCGGGATGGGATTACAACTCTAGGCATTCCCTCCAATTCTTATGTTCCCCAATGTACTAACTATGATTTGTTCCAACCCATTTCGGGTTCTGTTAATAGCACCAGATTGGCAGCTACACCCTTGTTTCTGCTTCTGTGGTACCTTTAGGAGTGTCCTCTTCTTTTAGATCATGCCTGTGGAGGCAGCCATGATCTGACATGGTACACCTAGCTATTTAGAAGCTCAAGCTTCAGGCATATAGGTTATGCTGTCTTTTGCATGGCATCAGGGTTTAATTTTTAAGGTTGCCATATATCTGTCTCAGTCTTTGCTTAGTCCTGCAATGGACATTTATCAATGTAAATGACACACATATTGGCAATGGTGTATTGAGAGGAGGTTGAACATAATTGGTTTTTTGACCTGGCTCTTTGGCAAGGGTTTTTCATTTTCCAAAATCACCCTACTTCTATGCCCTTAGCAGTCCGGTTGAATTGCTTACTGGAAGACATTGTGTGGACCTCCCCCAGTACTTTTATCTCACATTACTTGCGTGATCTGGAAGTATCTTCATCTCAGGGTTTTTGCCCACTCCCTGTAGCTATCTTAACCACTTAACCTACAGACATTGCCAGTCAGAGTGGTTTGTTCTGTTTGTCTACAGGATGATTTATCATTTTACCTACATCCTCAGGCCGGTTCTTCTTACCCAAGAAACTATCAAACAGGGAAGGGGATAAATTCTTTTCACCTATTCCACTGATCACTATTTCTCACTTCTGATCAGATTTTGATAATTGTTATGTTCAGTGAGGGTCTTGAAGGTTTTGTTTCCCACACTAATGCTTTTGAAGATGCTTAACAACAAATATTCTAGGCTCTTCTTTGAAGGCAAGGAATCTTCTGCGAGTCACATCTAATCAGATTCGTCACATTTCTATGCCCTTAGCAAACCGGTTGAATTGCCTGCTGGAGGACATTGTGTGGACCTCTCCCAATACTTTTATCTCGTATTATTTGCATGATCTGGAAGTATCTTCATCTGAGGGTTGTCGCCCACCCCCTGTAACTATCTTAACCACTTCCACTAGATTATACAGATGGGTGAGTATTTTCATTGCTACCTTTTAGGGTTTCTTACCTTATTTTCATAGAATCCCACTTTGTGGCAAGTGTTGCCTGGACAGGTGTATTTTTATCAAACCAATTCTGCACTAGCAACCACTAATTCAATACACTTTATCTAGGTTGCAGCAGGCTAAGTAGAAATGAGATGTTCCATAAGACCACCTAGAGGCTGACCTGGTGGTATTACAGTACTGTGCTGGACTATCATGAGCAAAGCATAAGGGGATCCTGCCCATCCCTTCCATCATTAGATTGAATAAATCAGGGTTTGTTTCCTTTTAAGAATTTAGGGTACTTGGTTCACCTATTGCACTGTTTCTAGAGCACTGTTCCTTAGGACTCTCCAACATGCATTACCCCCCCCCCCAGATTCTCTTAGTGGAGCTAGAGAGTCCTTACCAGTTTCAAGTCACTATGGTGGTGAACAGAAGCTTTTCCTCCAGAGTTTTAGAGAGAATTTCTCCACTCTTGGAGAAGATGATGAAGTTGGGGGGGGGTCCTCCTACCTGGGAGGGTTTTATCCCAGGTGTCAGTAGGAGAGGCACCTGCCTACGCAGGAGCCTACTCATAATACCGGTTCAGATTTGGGTTGATCGTGGCTCTTCTTTTTGATCAGTATTGGTTCAGTACATTGTTTATTGAAGAGGGTCCATTGTCTCCTCAGAATTCTGAATGTAGAGTGGTCTAATCCTGGGTTCTTGGTTGAGCACAGTTTGTTCCATGTCCTCATAATTCCAGGGTCAAGTGGAATTTACCTTTCCCACACAGTTTGGGAATGAGGATGAGTGTTCATAATTCCAGACCAGATGAGTTCTATTTCTTCAGGTTGAGTAAAGCATACAAGAGTGTGGGGTGATGCCTTTTGGACTTGTTCAGGTTGAGGAGAAGATTTGTCTACCTCATTGTTGCTTACCTTCTCATTGTGATTCTGGTTGCTTGAAATGCATCACTCTATGGCTACAGGTTGGTATCCAATCAAAAATGTAAATATATATATATATATATCTCTTGCAGTCCAATTGCCCTAGCCACCAACATGGGATATAGGGACCATGGCCCTGTAGTTTCAATCCAGAGCAGTGGTTGGGGCCTGGCCAATAGAGATGGTAAATCATGTAAAATTCCACCTAAGTACATGAAATAAGTTTTGAGTGAAGAGCATACCTGTTCTGGATGTAGTGTGGTTCCCCCATTGGGCAGCAATCTTCTGTTGACACACCCATTATCTGTGCAGATGCTTTCTGTATGGATAATGCCCTCACTGGCTTCTCCACCTTATCAAGGTGGGACTCTAGCTGTAGTGTGAGAGGAAGTAAGTATGTTTTGGAATTTAACATTTTCTTAAATCAAAAATGTATTTCCAATAATACTTACCTCCTCTCCCACTCTCTCACCCTTCCTCCCCACTAAGAGCCAGTTTTAGAGAGTGCAGATTGATAACATTATCTGAATGAGATGCTTATTTACAGTACCAGGGTGCATCGTTGTAGGTTGAGAGTATAACGAGACAAATATTGCCAAAGGCAATTAAATGGGGTATAAAAGACTGAATCAAACAAGAAAAAATCAGACCAATGCTTAGGTGGGCAAAAGAAGGAACCCTGGCAATCGAGTAATAGCTGTAGTGTGAGAGGAGATAAGCATTATTGGAAATAAATGTTTGATTTAAGAAAATGTTACCTTTTTTTAGTTGGTTACATGTGTGCAAGTCAATTTACTCACAGTTTCAATTAACTTATTGTTGGAATTGTTTAAAACAGGAATAATTGGAAACACTAATTTAAATTATTTAGTTATTTTCATGACAATAATCAGTTTTTCATAATTTTAATTAATTGATTAGTTTACAAACAACTAATTGATGTAATCAATTCTTATAGTTAATTGATTATATTAATCAATCAATTTGTCCAACTCTGAGTATTGATAAATGTTATGTAAAATAATTGATTAATCAAAATTACAATTAAATCAATTAATGTCATGAAAATAAGTTTTGATTATTCCAGCTATCCAGTAATCAAAATGTTGCCATTATGATTTTTCTTTATTATTTTTAATAAATTCAAGTTTGTCCAGTCAAATCAATTTGTGTCACGACTCATGAAAATAATAAGACTAATCAAAATTAGGATTTCAAATTACTACTGTTTTCAATTAATTAAACTATCTAAGTAATCAGAATATTACCATTATGCTTCTTTATTATTAAACACAAAGCTACACATTAGGATGTCTGTGTTCTGCCTATCACAAGTATTGAAACCTGATTTTTATGTTTTAGGTCATTTTCTAAGGATAATCACTGTTTTGTTTGTTTTATCCATTTTGATGCAAACTTTTATTAATCATTTTCATGTAACTTGAATTAATTATAAATAACTAGTTCTGTTATTTGAAACTTCAATGCATTATTGTAGAATGAAACAAGAAAACCTACAGTTTTACAGTGATATAAATGATGGTACTTTATATAATTAAAGATATTGAGTACTTGCTGGAGTACCCATCCCCTAAATAGAAGTTATGTAAATGTATGATTAATTACAAGTTATCTTAGGACATGAAAAGATACTTCTCTTATATGTAATTGTAAAAAATGCCCATAAAAACTGCAAAACACAAAATGTGAAACTGCATATTTGCAGGTACCTTCGCATGGACCTAACAAACCTCCATACCAAATCTGGTGAAAATCCATCCTGAGGAGGTGAGGTAGTGGTAAAAAAATACAAAATGCCCATAAAAACTGCAAAATGCAAAACTGAAAATTTGTATGTATGTCCCCATTGGACCCAATACCAATAACCATGGACTCCATACCATACAGGGGGCAAAGTAGTGATAAAAAATGCCCATAAAAACCACAAAATGCAAAACCAAATATTTGTATGTACCCTCGCATGGACCAAATGAACCTCCATACCAATTTTGGTGAGGATACATCTGCACCATGTGAAATAGTTGCATGGATGTACAACAGACAGTACTATTATATTTATATAAATATATGTATGTAGTCTTAGTGAATTGTAATTTTAAAAAATACTTGTTAGCTAGCTTTATTTTATTTTACTTTTCAAGTTGTGGATACTTATTAAAATACTCACATATATCATATTATGATGCCAAGCAGTACAAGTAGAATGAAGAACCACATCTCATAAAGTGCAGTAACATTTACATAGCTGTTCATGTTTTTATACTTACTACTTACAGGATGGAACCTGAAAGACTTTGGTTGGAACCAGTATCTGAGACTCAGTAAAGCTCAAGCTGCCCCAAAAAATTTATTCTCTTGTAAAAACTCTCAGGTATGATTTCACAGTAGTAATAATATTGTTGTTTTCATAACTTATTGCAATGTTTTCAGGTATTTAGTCATCAAGAGAATGTTTAATTGCCTTGTGTGTTTATTTTACTTATTGATGTTGTTGAAAGTTTATAACATAATGTGAAACACAGATGAATGCTAGATTTGTTCATTAGCATTTTTATAAAAACAATAATCTTAACATTGTATTTTTAAACTTTGAAATAAGCATATAATTTAAATTTCTAATATATGACAACAAAACTACAGTATGTGGTGCTTTTGGGGCTGGGCATGGCCTAGTAGTTATTATGCTCAACTATGGATCCATTGCTACAAATGAAAATTGTACTCTGCTCTCTCAAGCCATGGGTGCGTTATAAGAGTGATGGTCATATCACACTATTTGATTAGAATAGCCAAAGAATTGACAGTATATGCTGTTAAACAACTACCTTCCCTCTAATATTTCAGCTCAAAATTTGAGATGGCTAATGCAGATAGCCCTTGTGTAGCTATGCATAAAGCTGTGAAACAAAACAAACCCAGTTGAATTGTTTTTGATAATATTTGTGCAGGTTAAAATGAAACATGACAGCACAGAGGACACAAAAGAAAATTCATCCAACAATACATTGTTTGGGTTTTGAAAATATAGAATTAAGCTTGTGCTTTCATTTTTTACCCATTTAAACTTGTGCACATAACACAGTTTAATTGGAAATATTCAATTTAACCAAAAGCCAGAAAATTACATCTTAAACAATTGTAGTAAATTTCCCCCCTTTTTTTTTGGAGTCATTCCAAAAAACAAGTTGGTATGTCAGTTGCTTTATGTTGTTTTTTATTTCAGTTCTTAGTCACATTGGTGACCTCTTTTTGATATAAGAATGCATGAACTATACTGTCTCTAAAAGCATATAGGTATCAATTTTATTTACCTTACTTCAGAGTGCATTAGATGCCATGATACATTCACCATTTTTCAGTGACTTGCATCTAAACAAGAATTCATTGATTTTATGTCAGAATATTTATGTGTGTATATATATATATATATATATTAAAATGACAGTCATTTATATCTATTTATGTTATGATGAAGTTGTTACTACTGAATTTAGATTTTATTGAGATGGTGTTACACTTGTTTTTATGAAAGTTCCTTTCTATTTCACAGCAAGTTACCCCACACGGATTTCGCGTGGGAATGAAATTGGAAGCTGTGGACAAGAAAAACACAACTCTTGTGTGTGTAGCAACTGTGACTGATGTGCTAGACACTCGGTTTCTGGTCCATTTTGATGGTTGGGATGATATTTATGATTACTGGGCTGACCCAACTTCACCATATATTCATCCAATCAACTGGTGTAGAGATACAGGGCATGTCTTAACACCTCCAAATAGTATGTTTGTTTTCAATATGTGCATATGTTATCATTGTTAGATATTTAAACTCTAATACCTGGGACTTCTGTTTTAATGGTGGTTCTTGGAAATGTACAGTTTCTGTCTTGTCTTTCAGAGTTAGTTCCTGAGATATTGAAGATATTACAGTTAATGTCTACCCAAAATGCCTTTCATTATTTTGTAAAATTTGTTTAGCACAATTATTCTTTAGTATCAATGTATTTCTTCAGTTTAATTCTTGAGCAGAATATTCTGTTATTACAGACTGCAGTGATCCTGAAAATTTTACTTGGGAGCAGTACTTGACAGAAACAAAATCGCAATCTGTGCCCGCTCGAGCTTTCAAGCAACGACAATCTCACAGTTTTAAAGTTAACTGGAAGTTAGAGGTGGTTGATGGAAGGAATCCCATGTTGGTGAGGGTAGCAACAATTGTCGAGACTTCAGCTCATGCTGTTAAGATACATTTTGATGGATGGTCTGATGCCTATGACTACTGGATGGATGATGATTCTCCTGACCTCCACCCTGCTGGGTGGTGTTTTCGAACTGGTCATCCCTTACAACCCCCCATAGGTTTGTACTTTTCCCAATGTAAAAATTAAAGGTTTTGATAACTTTCTATTGTGATTATGTTTTCTTTTTTCTTGTTTAAAGTATTTTAATATCATGAACTGTTTTACTGATTGATTTTTAACTTCATACCAAAGTAAAGCTTTAACCCTATGGGAGGGTCAAAGTGTATGTCATGACATTTTTACAGGGGTCCACAGTAGCTCAGCATTAAGTCTTATGGCTTATAATGCTAAAATCTGTGTTTTCATTCCTATGGTGGACATGGCATAGATAGCCTATTGTATAGCTTTTTCTACAAAAAACTTTTTACAGAGTTATATTCAAAATTTAATCATACTACTTTCTTTTCAATGTACGTTAGTAAATTTGGCATCAAAACAGTTTATAACTCACATTTTAGTTTTTATTTCTTAATTTCAAAGGTGGGTATTGAAATAAAGTTTCAATCTGCACCTTTGAGTTGCATGACATGGTGGCACTCTTGACTTTTCATTTATGGATTTTTGCTGTTCCCTTGTATAGGTTTCACATTGTTCAACAAATTAGAAACATGTTTTATAGATGCTTACAAGGCAGAATATAGAATTTCAACCTGTTCATGCTTTACTGAGTTATTACTATATATGTTCAACCCACATTGACATTCTCCTCCCATATCCTCTGTCTTTTAAGAAGTTTTATAATATCTATTGGACATGTTTACAACCAATAGAAAGAGCAAATTGTGAACTACATAAAACAATTTTCAGTTGTTTTTGAGGTAAAAGGCCAATAGTTTGCTGTGAGAACTAAAGACATTGTTCCGAGCAGTAATGGAATTTTTTAACCTATTTATAAGTTAGTAAGAAAGCCAGATAAATTACTTATTTTTGGATATTCTCTTCAAGTGTATGATATATTGTTTGTGTTCTGAAATGCATATTTCAAAGTTACATGAATTATTTTTGGACAACCAACAGTGAGAAAAAAAAAAATTACTAAACCATGCACCCAAGTGTGAAAGGCCTCATGGCTTAAGTAAGTGCTAAATTACTTAATTTTTATGTATATCCTATTTTTATTGTTATACATGTTTTAAAAATCATAACTAGAATATAAAAATTAGAAACTTGTTAAGTTAGATAAAATATAAGTAAAAAAAATGAAATATAAAACTTCTCTTTGAGAAATGCATGTGGAGTACTATCTCTTTATTTAACTCAACAGTTTACCTTAACCTGCCCTGTCTCTGGGTGATTTATTGTTTTGTTATGTTAGTTAGACATAGGTCAAAGAGCAATAAAACAAGAAAATTAAAGCAGTTCTGAAACTGTTAGAAGCCCTTAGGCTGTTTGGATAAAAAATTGTAATTTTCTTTTGCAATCTACAGTCATTCTAGATTGTGTGTATTATATTTATTAACTTTGACTACAGTAAGTGTTAGGGTAGAGAAAATAAGAGATACGATATAACTTTTTACTGAACAAACCCTCTAATGTTCATTGCCTACTTGTAATGATGTGTTGAGTTGGCCGGAGCACTTGGAATGCATGTGTGTTTGTTTATGCACATGGTAGTAACGTCGGATGGAGAGAGAGTATGATGTGTTGGCGTGGATGACAGTAACACAAGTAGAGAGATGCAGAGTGGAGTGCATCCTGTTATCATGGGATTAATGCATAATTCTTTAGACACCTTGAAGTTTTGATATAGAAAGTACAAATGGAATGTAAGGTAAAATTACTTGATCAAAAGTATCTCTGACTTATTTAGAGTCGGCACTCTCGTAGTCTTTTAATCAGTCTTTTGACATACGGGTTTGATTATGATTTAAATTATAATTTTGATTATTATAGATTATGATATAACGGCTTTAGAAAAATGACTTTATAGAAATCTTTAGCTTACTTATATATACCACACCACATATAGATGCTGGAGCTTTGTAAATCTAGTATTCTTGTGTTTCTCTACTAGAGTATCACAGATATGCTGTTGGCATACTATAAAGATTTGTGTTTGTTTGACTGATTTTTTTGATATGCTAAATTAATTTGAAATACAACTCAGCTTTAAAAGGGAGGGGACATAGCAAAATAAAGCTTAAGAGATATTCTTTTCACAAAGGAGCAATGGTGTATAAGCAATTGTGATGTTTTGTGTAAAATATATCATACCTAGTAGATAACAGTATTTGACAAAGCCTGTCAGTTATTTGAGTTTGGATTTTTTTTTAAATTAAATAACATTTTAGTTCTGAGAGGAATCTTCATTTAACAGCTAAATTTTTTTATGCACATTGTGTGCATGTTTGTGATTTTGCCATGGCATTGGATTTTGCTGTCACTTTTTAATTGTCTCTCATTTTTCTTTTATTATAAAGTTAGACTAATTTGTGGTTATTATGAATGGGGAAGAACTAGATAAGTTCTGATGAAGACTCAACTTTAGATAGTTTCTTGATAACATCTTTGATAGCAGCTATGAAATCTGAGACTGGAATTGTATCAGAGGTTACAGGAAATTTCAAACCCTTGTAAAGCAAGGTATTTTTGTTGGGCTTAATCCTCTTGAGCTGAGGTTTTATAGATATGGGTTGGTGCTTCTCTGTTAAGGAGGACATTTGTACTTGACATGCTTGCATTGGTTGGGAATTATATAATTTATACATGTTTTTGTTTGTCCACTGGTTGTTGGAATCCATAGACTGCTTATTTTGGTTCTTTGATACTAATTGAGTTCTAGTTTTTGTTTCTTATTTTATACTTTGAGTGCTCCAGTTTTTGTGTTTGATCATTAATTATGTAATCTTTCCAATCTTTGGCATTGCCAGTATCAATTTTAACAGATATGCTTTTACATCATGGTCAAATCAATTTTTAAATCAGTGTTTATTGTTTTAGTACATGCAGGATCAAGTTGTTACTATTTGTGATAGTATGTGTGTTAAAATTAAACTTGTTTGTTGTTTTTTTTTCTTTTGCAGTAAGTGAAAACTTGAGTGCACCTGGTCAGGGAGGATGTCCTACTCCAGGATGTAGTGGTACTGGACATGTCAAAGGTCCCAAGTATACCACTCATCACAGGTAAAGATTAAAGTATATGTGAAGTTTTTTATGGATATTTTTTTATCAAAACTTCAAAACCAAGCCAGAAAATTGCTTCCTTCCTGCATTAGTTTTATCCTGCCTAGGTTCCTGTTTTCGTTTTTTGTGTGGATGTATCAGTAAGGTGATTGTGGTATTTTTTGTAACAACTGAGCCTGTATTTCTTGATTAATTTATATCAAATTGATATAGAACCTGTGATAATCTAATGTCAGAATGATGTTTAACAATTTGTATATAAGCAAAGATGAAGATGTGACTGTTTTTAAAAAATAAACAAGATGTTTCTTTTCCTTATGTAATTATATGAAAAATTCCAGAGAAAAATGTTATATCAGATGAGTTGAAAAAAATAATTAATAGCTCAGCTAAGAGGATGATGATAAAAATTATATATATGTTTGAATGAACATTTTAATGAAAGTAGTTTTACTTCATATCTAAAATGTACAGCATACATATCATCTCAAGTGTTGTTTTATAACACTTGAGATGATATGTATACTTTTCATTTTAGGTGAGTCAGCATGTCTAATTTTAGGATGTTTGATTATTTACTAAGGTGACACAACACCATGTTCAATACTGCTACTGTGTTTACTTTATAGCATTATCTTTACCTTTTCTAGTGCCTTTGGCTGTCCATACTCTCAGTTGAATATGAATAAGTTTGACTCAGCCTTACCAGATCGTCTCGGAAGTCGGCTAAATGATGGTGTTATGGAAGTTGCAGTGCCAATGAAATATAGTAATTCAGGTGCTACTGAGGGTCTCAGGTTAGCTATAAAACTTATCAACTATCTGTATTCAGGGTATAATAATAAAAACGGTTTATAAAAATTATATTAACATTAATAGTTTATAGTCTGAACTACAAGCACATTTTACGTATCCAATGATAGAGAAATATAGAATTGATGTGCAGATGTGTTAAGCCTAATTAGAAGCAACCAACCAAATGGTTAAAGTCCTTTAACTCTTTCAGCATGGGCTCAGTCCTTTGGACCGATCCTCTTAACCATTTTGTGCTTGTTATAATTTTCATGCTATAACTTTCAAATGAGTAAGTGTATGTTAATGAAATTTGGCAGATTATCAGTAAATATTACATTACTTTCATATATAAAATATCAAATTTTTTTATTATGTCTTAAAGTTTGTTAAGCAATGTTTTTCTCATGCCTGTCTTTCCTTTTGGCATACTGCCTATCCAACATGCAAAGTAATATTCATTTTAAGATTAAAAATACTTTTATGTATAAGAAAATTTTGAAGTCTCATATTAGAAATCTATATAATGTCGAGATAGTTATCAAGTGTTTCTTAAGAAAAAAACTTTATATTTTATCTATTATTTTCAGTAATTAATCTCTGTACGGGTTAGATTTTACCGATCTCGCAACCACCATAAAAAATTAGGAAATAAATATAATTTTTGCGTCTTTCATTCTAGAATGAACACCCATTATAACATGAAAATATAAATGTTTAGACTAAATAGTTTAAATCTCATAACATTATACATTTATATATATTTATTATTTTTATTGTATTTATGTATTTACCTTTCAGCCATGCCCGGCTAACAGTTCACAAGTTACAATGATGAGGCTCAAGTGCACTCATGTTACCAAATAACATAAAATTGACCTTTGGTCTGTGCAAAGTAACTTGTCTTGGTAGACTTGTATTTTGTAAAATACAGTCACATTTCAATTATTATAAATTATATATGTATATAGAAATAAATTCTTAAACATATTTTTTCCTCAAACATTGAACAGTAAATAAAGAAGTGAAGCAAACAATTATCTCTTCAAGTTACGACCTTTGTCCTTGGTTGCTGCTTTACATAGGTTGCTAAGCATTTACAAATTTTGCAAGTGGAGGACATGAAACAAAATATTTTTTTCAGGTTTTATATATACATTTGAATAACTAAAAAATCATAAATTACTACATTAATGCCATAGAATTCTACTATAATTTATAAAGCTTAGTAACTAAGATGTATTTTACTCTAAAAAATATGAAATTGTGAGCAGACTAAAGACACACCCTACTTCATTGAAATCTTGGTTGAAAAGAAAGAAATGGCACCAAGTTCATTAAAATGGCTAAGAAAGCCACTAAGGGGACATTCTGAGCTTCCAATTGGTTATTCATGACATATATAGAAGGAAGTATATATAGGGAGCATTTCCAAAAATGGAAAGAGGTAGGTGGGATGACACTGTGTTTGGTTTATTACATGAGCAATATCTTAGCAACTTGAAAAGATAAGAGGCTCTTATTTTACATTCTAGCTTGTCAATATCGGTAATTTGAGTTTCTAATTTGTTTGAAACTATACTTAGTATTTTGACTTCAC